AAGGCAGCTGTTAAAAGAAACAAGATAAATATATACAGAGTAACCTCTAAAACTCAGCAATGACTGAAAAACACAAGGTTCAGAATTACAGTATTTCATTTAGTAAAAAGTACTATGTAGTCAGTCCTACATGTATATGAGAGAGACAGGGAGAAGGAGAGAAGGGGAGAGACAGAGAAAGAGAAAGAGAGAGTGTGAGTGTGTGTGTGCATGCATGAGCGCGCATGCACACACACGTGACAAAGAGAGAAGGAAACATCTCAAATTCATAATAATAGATTACCTCTAAGGGGAGAAATACATAATAATGGATTACTCTAAGGGAGGAGGCACAGAGGCGAGACTCAAAAGGTACTTTAATTGCTAATGTGTTTCAAGTTTTTAAAAGATGTATACATTCAGGTGTTATTTGCATAAACAATATGATTTAGTATAAACAACTGGAAAATACTGGATATATCAATAATGAACCACTACATGAAAAAATTATAATAAAGTCATCAATGGACAGAAAGGATTAATTTTTTTAACAAAAAAAAAGGCACTAATCATGATTATGGCCTTCCAAATAATTATAATAAGTGTTAATGGGTGAATTCACCTATTAATGGCTAAGATTGTATTAGTCCATTTTCACACTGCTATAAAGATACTGAGACTGGGTAATTTAGAAAGGAAAGAGGTTTAACTGACTCACAGTTCCACATGGCTGGGGAGGCCTCAGGAAACTTACAATCATGGTGGAAGGCAAAGGGGAAGCATGGCACCTTCTTTACAAGGCAGGAGGGAGAATAATGTAGGAGGAACTACCAAACACTTATAAAATCATCAGATCTCATGAGAACTCACTATCACAAGAACATCATGGGACAGACTGCCCCATGATTCAGTTACCTTTACTTGGTATCTCCCTTGACACTTGGGGATTATAGGGATTATGGGGATTACAACTCAAGATGAGATTTTGGGTGGGGACACAGCCAAACCACTTACAGAATGTGCCAAGCACTGTTAAGAATTTTACATATATTAACTCATTTAATTATTATAAAATGAGATAGAAAACTATTCATATTTCCATTGTATAGGGAAGAAACAGGCACCAAGAGTTAAGTAAACTTAACTGAAACCACACAGCCAGTTTATGCAGTGCCTGAATTCAACCCCAGGCAACCTGGACTCAGTCCATGTCCTTACCACTCACTGAACAGTCTCCACTGAACAAAGCAACACACAAACTGAGTCATTTGGGTTTTTCAAGACAAATATTCAAGAATATATCTAAAATGAATTAACTAGGAGTGAGAAAAATGAAGACATTAAAAATATACACAAGGCAAATGCTAACAACAAAAGAGAGTCAGACTCTAAGACACAATAGAAACTCAAGGTGAAGGCAACAAAAACAGATGGAGAGGAAGACACATATATTTAATTGGTTTAAAAAAATTGAAAATGACAATTATGAACTTTTACTATTCTTTTGCAGAAGACCCAACATACTTTTCTCAGAAACCAACAAAAAACAAGATTTGAATAATAATACAATTAACAAGCGTTAATTGATAGTTATTTTTAAATGTTATACATAAATGTGAGAATGCCTATTTTTAAAACATACGGAAAAGTTGTAAGAAAAAAAGCTATGAATTAGGTCACACACAAAAGTTAATTGCGATCACACAGAAAATTGCAATCACACAGTAAGCACAATACAATCAAATTAGAAATGAACATGTAATATCAGAGGATGTGTTGGTAAATTGTCTCCAGCATTTTCATCATTGAATCTGAATCTGGCCCTGTTCTGGCTTCTGACGTTGGAGTAGTTCAGTAAAGGCTTTTGACTATGCCCCAGGGATGCCGAGTCAATACTGAAAACAACTGGAATGGCAGATCTCCAGCCTCCAGAAATAAAGAGTTGACCACTGCAGCCATGCAAACATATTCACTAATTAAGAATATTCTGTCCTGAAGGGGAGCGGGCGACCACCTCACATGTATTAACTCATGTACAGCCTCCCAAAAAGAGAATACAAACTAAGTGCCCTGACAGAAAATGGAAGAAAAGGAAGAAGGTGACAATGACTAGCTACTTTTATAGGGGTTGGGGAAAGTGTGAAAAATAAGAACAAAAAATAATCCCATATTGCTCCCAAAACTTTCATTCCGGAGTAAAAAGGAAAAAAATGCTAATAAAATAAAAGTACAAATCATATATCTGATAAAGGTCTGATACAGAATATATAAAGAACTCTTGAAACTCTATAATAAAGTATCCAATTTCTTAAAATGGGCACAAGATTTGAACAGACACTTCACTGAAGAAGTTATGCAGATGACAAGCAAGCACAAGAAAGATGCTCAACAGCATTAAAGAGAAGCAAATTTACACTGCAGGAGAGATGACTGCACACTGATGAGAATGGCTAAACTTAAAAAGATTGTCCATACAGAGTGCTGGTGAGAACGTGGATAAACTGCAACTATCATCCACTGCTCAGGAGAATTAAAACAATTTTTGAAAAACGGTTTGCAAGCTTCCTAAAAAGTTAAGCATACACTTATCGCATGATGCAGCCATTCTACTCCTAGGTATTATTTACCCCACACACACAAAAAAAGCATATGCCCAGATAAAGATTTGTATATGAATGTTCATGTAGATTTGTAACAGCCAAAAACTAGAAACAGTCCAAGTGTCCATTAGCCGGTGAATGCATAAACAAACTGCATCACATCCATAGAGTGAGATACTATTCAACAATAACATGGAATGAACTACTGATACATGCAACGAGAGAGCTGAATCTCTAGGCTGAATGAATAATTATGCTGAATGAAAGCCAGACAAAAAGGCTACGTACTGTATTATTCCAGTTACGTAACACTCTAGGAAATATAAACTAAACTATAGAGACAGAAAGCAGACCAATGGTTATGTGAGGATAGCAGAGAGTTGTAGGAGAAATGACTAAGGGCCATGAGAAAACAATGGTCACCAGTTCAACTACAGTGATGGTTTCATGAGTGTATACATATTTTAAATAATTTATCAAACTATACATTTTAAATAAGCATAGTTTACTGTATATCAATTATTCTTCAGTAAAGCTGTTTAGAAATGAAGCTGTGGAGATAGATAAGAGTATGACAAAGTAGGAGATCACTGAACGTTTATTTAACATGTACATTCTAACATGAAGGTCAACTGCTAGCCACACACAGGACTAAATATCGTGATAAAAGACATGAGATAGGAAAGACACATTTAGCAACTAGACAAGCAGAGCTCCAAAACGATACTTCATAAAAGGCCACCGCTAACGGGCATAATACAAACAGCAATGGAAATATCCCAAAAAGTACTCCTCCTAGAGAATTTCCTCATCGAAGAGAATCTGCCTACCAAGCTAATCAGAGTGTGTCACCTACAACAGTCTGAAAACAGATAGCGCTTCTTCAAGTGACCTGGAAACGTAGCACAGCAGCCAAACAAGCAGATGGCGTGGCAAGCAGACGCCCCTGGTTCTTCAAGAGCTGAGATCTGATAAGCCTCAAGTACTTATTTTAAATATGAAAGCAGTAATAACTGCCTGGTTATCTCAAAAGGCTATGGTGAGATGACACACCTGAAAGCCCTCCAAAAACTATAAAGTGGAACACAAATACTAGACAGTATTAGTGTTAAAAAATAAATGCTTATCTGAGAAAAAAAATTAAACTATCTCCTCTTTTCACATTAATTGGATAGGAAGTGAAAGAAGCCATTTATCAGAACTATAATCAGCCTGTAATCCATCATGACATACAGGAAAAGCCCAAAAGCTATTTAACTTTTATTTTCTAATATAAGCATTTAACACTATAAATTTCCCCTTAAGGTAGTGCTTTAGGTGCATTTCATACATTTTGGTATGTTATGCTTTCATTTTCATTTGATTCAAGGTATTTTCCCTAGTAAGCTCCTCTTTAACCCATGGGTTTTCAGGACGTGATCATTAATTTCAAAATATTTTGGAATTTCTTGGGTATGTGATACTGATTTCTAGCTTAATTAAATTGTGGTCATAGAACACAGAATATTCTGAAAAATTACCTGTAAAGTGGAAGTATGGAAATCAAGTTCAGTTTTCCTATGGTAAATTAATATGTAATGGTATGCCCAAGGTCAAGGTGAGCTAGGATTAGAGATCAGGTCTTCCAGCTCCTGGTATAATATCCTTTCTTCTACCTTATGTTCTCTTTCAATACCATCTTAAAACCAAAAGACTTGTTAATCTCTCCCTATCCTTCCAAAAGAAAAAGAAAGAAAGGGAAGGAAAATTCCATATTCATCATCTCATTTGATTTTTACTATTTCATAAATCAGGCAAGACAGATGATAGTATTCTGCACACGAAGAAAGTGAAGCTCAGAGAAATGACTTGGCCTGCTAGTCTGCTATGTCTCATTACTCCTCAATTACCCCTTAAAATTAGAGCAAGACAGCTCATTGAAATCCATAAATAATTCAAAAACCTCATTTTAGCCACTATTACAATCACCACCACCTCAGTTCAGAGTAAATTATAGTAAAACTGACTAGGTTTAAGTTTTTAAATCTTGACTTCTCACACCCATTCATTATTAGCAAGATTCAGATAGCAAAGAATTGGTTAATTCCAGGAAAGGAAAAGTAAATGGGCAAAAATATAGGGAGGAAAACTGAGATCTCTGCTTAATAAGTCATAAATTACATAATCATATTTTTCAAACAAAAAATTAGTATGGAAATGAATATATCAAGTTATTTTTTTCTCTTTCAAAGTCACAAACTATTGATTAGAATCTAAAGCACTAAATATTATCTGCTGTTAATATTTATTAAAGCATATTAATATTAAATTAACATTCAAAAATATTAAAATATTTTATGCTAGTCTATTTTTAATTAAATTTCTAAACTATAATTATAGAGAAATTAAATGGCTTTAAGAGTAAAAGGCACACATTCTTACCATATATCATTGACTATGGGTTGCAGAAATTCCCCTCAAGTAGCATCACCACTTTGGCTCAGTTATAAGTAGTAGTAACAGCAATCAAAACTAGAAGTATAAAGAAAAGAAAAAAAAATTAGCAGTGGGCAAAATGCATTCAAGTCTTCAAGAAAGTCTTAAATTCAAATTTCACATTTCAACAATTTCAAGGAAACTCGAATCCCTGAACTAGTTCTTTTTTAACTAGTCTAACTAAGAAACTAATAATGTGTGTGATATCCTGTATAAAATTCCAACCCCCTATGCTGGAAAAACCTCTGAAATTAACTTCAAGGACTTACCATAAATAATAGACAAAGGGCAGAAAAAGAAAAAGTCAAGTTTAAGTGTATTCAACTAAACTACTCAATTCAGTTACTCAACAACACATACACTTTAGGTTTCGTTACTATCTCCAGACTGAGTCAAATAACAGTAATCATTCACATAACTGTACCTAATAAGAGCATTTGTAACAATTTTTCCCATAACAATATTCAAGTTCAATAAAAGTCTTGGTGATCATTTTATAAATATTTTAATAGTAGGTACAGGTGTAAAACAGTAACAGATTTAATAACTGCCAAACACACCCTGGAAAGTGTTTCCAGAACACTAGACATTAATAGCAAGGCTACAGAGCAAACTGGTCAGTGATGTGCACCAATGTGCTAGAGCTATAAGGTAAAAAGAAACATGATATAGTTTCCTAATCAGAATTATTATTTACTTGGGAAGAACACACACAAGAAAATTTTAGTGAACTCAGCAAGACTTTAACAAGCATCTTGTAGAAGTCAGCCCCTCTTTAAACACTGAACACATAAAAATGAATAAGAAAATGCCTGTTCATGAAGGTACTCACAATCTTGTGAGGGTAACAAATAAATGCAGATCATTTTAATAAGGTAGAAGCAAGAAAGCGAGAGCACAGTGGTGCAGAAGTGGGGTGGGGTGCAGTTTCAGGAAGGTCAAACATGGGTGTGAGGAGCAAGGCTTGGGAAAGGAGGTCCAGGCATGAGAAGGCAGAAACTGTACCATTTCATTATGGAAGAAAACCAACTTTGAGTCTACTAAGAGGAATTATCTGGACCCACATGAATTCTACGTAGGCCAGTAGATTCTAAGAACCCACACAGTTAAGACCACAACTGCCCTTATAACAAACAGTTAAAAAAAATATAGTTACCATTCAGCGATACTCTATTTTATACATCCTGTTTTACTTATTTAAAACTAAAGCAGCACACAATTTTCTTCTCTTCCTTCGGAGCAGCTGTAAAGCATGTTCTTGATGCTGAGTAAAACAGAAAAGTGAGTTTTTTCCTAAGTAATCTGCATAAGTGATCACCTTATTTCCAAATACAGAAAATTAACCCTGAGTTAAGATTATCCAGGTCAAATTTCACCTCTACTACATCAGCTGATTCAACTTGATGATTCTGAGTAAGCAGCACTATACATTTCACTTAAGAGATGATTATATCTAGCTAATCGTGCCTAAGGCGAAGGAAAATGCCCAGCATCATTTGTGTTTTCTGGATGACCATTTATGTTTAAGAATCACATGGTAACTCTCTCTTTGTGAAAAAATTACGAATTTTCCCATTTGTGTGAAAGGCTATGGACTTATTATTTTTGTTATTAGCTATTATTCAGTAAACGCTTTCCTCAGGTCTAAGCATAGAGCTAATACCTCATATACATTTAACTTAGTCCTCAGAGGCAGGTAATATCTCCATTTAAAAATAAAAAAAATTAGGATCAAAAGTGAGTTGTTTAGGATCACACAGTAGGAAAAAGAGGAATCAGGATGAGTCTGGCTAGAAAGTAGCTGTTCTTGCTGGGTGCTGTGTGGCTCACATCTGTAATCCCAGCACTTTGGAGGCTGAGGCAGGCAGATCACGAACCCAGGAGCTTGAGACCAGCTTGGGCAACATGGCGAAACCCTGTCTCCACAAAAAAAAAAAAAAGAAGAAAGTAAGCAATATCTGCATTAGATTGTAGATAAAGGGCATATTACTAGCCTTTTGGACATGGACATATGCAGTTTTCTTTGCTGCTGAGCTGCTAACATTTCTAACATAAGTCAGGAACCATAAAAGTCGTGAAGAATTAACTAGATTTTGTGAATACATAGCTACACATTTGACAGTGGAGAGCATATCAGTAACTCCTTTTAAGTCACAGGTTAAGGCTGCTAAGTGGAAACACAGCACCTCTACTAAGAGGTGCAATACTGGCCAGCACAGGGAAGCATGCTTCTTTCTATGTAACACCATCACTCTAATTCTATTTCCATCAATGGCTACAGTCTGAATGGTGCTGACAGTACTCTCCTGCGGCTACTGTTGAGGAGCAGAACTGCCCTGTAACTTCCTACCTCTGGCCTTGCATCCGTTATGCTCCCCATCAGAAATTCCCTCCTGTTGTCTACTTTCCAGGTATCCAAAGGTCTCTCGCCCTCAAACTGCAACCTGCTATGGCCTCCATCCATCCATGCCTCTAACTGCTCAATAAACATGTATATATGTGGTTATGTGCCTGTTACTGTGCATGCCCCTACCCCTGGAAAAACAAAAGCCCAATCCTGCACTCCCAAGAACCTCTCTGTTCACCAGAATAAAAGTCTGTAAACAAGCAGGTAGCATTCCATGGGACCAGCGCTCTAACAGGTGTATGCAGGGGATGCACAGAGCACAAGGGAGAAGGTGGCTGCAGGTGGAGGGGCAGCAGCAGGGACAGCTTCATAAGGCTGGTCACTGAATTTAAGCCATAATTCAGATTATAGATGATGAAGACCTAAACTAAGACAAGGGAAGATTTTTTTAAAGGGAACAAATCTGACAGACATAGATCTCAGGAGATTAAGTGGGATGGGGATGCTGAGATGTCCCCTGGAGTCAAGGAGTGCTCTGAGGCAGTGCTGTCCAAATAAATGTCCTTCAGTGATGGAAATGTTCTACACAGTGACACTGTCCCACAAGGCAGCCTCTAGCCACACGGAGTACTGGATCCAGCTTGAAACATGATTAATGTGAGTGAGGAACTGAATATTTTACTTCATTTTAACTAATGTTCATTTAAATAGTAACATGTGGTCAGTGGCTACTATGTTGGACAGTATTCTTCTAAGGTTTTTGGCTTGAGATAGTTGTATTGAAAGTGTTATTACCAACATCTGGGGAAAAATATTGCAAAGAAAAGCATATAGACACTGAAATATTTGAATAATGAACAAATCACTGAATAGAGGAACAAACCGGGTGATCTCTAAGGACCTCTCCCTGCTAAAATCCCATGACAGATGTACTTATCCTTGGGTTCCAAATAATGATCTCAATATGGTAGCAACAAAATGTAATCTTGCTGTCTCTAGGCCTAAGTATTAAAATATTACTACAAAATAAAAATTATTATACCATTCAGGTAAAAAATAAAAGAAAAATGACATCATGAAACCACAGAAGTCCCAATTTAGGGAATCATCACAGACCAAAGTCAAGCCAGAAAAAATAACTGTTTAGTTAAAAAAAAAGTATTTTGCCAAAAAGAAGAGGGGGCAGAGAGAAGGGGACCATGCAGTTTTATAACAGTCAACATTAGTGCAGGTAATTTCAAATACATTACAGACCATTCACCTCATCAACAGCTCACTTCACTCAGTTTACATGCTTCCGTAGTCTGATGAGAGAAATTACAGAGCTTATCTCATGAAATATGTAATTTTGTACTATAGGGCATTGGTACAAGGTCAGTGGTAATAAAATTTTCCCTAGTAATATGCCGTTTAATCTTATTTGTCCACAACATCCAAAATCAATATGAAATAAAGAATGCTGCTATATGAAAACACTTAACCTGAGAACAGGTTGTATCTAAATGATTCATTGTTAATCTACCAATATTATCCTAATCTGATTGTATTTGGATTTACTATTTTGGTCCTTGACATCTCTTGTAAGCCTCCAAATTCTAGCTTTCCAGAAACAAGAAGCTAGCTTGAGATATAGCTCTACTTCCCTACTGCTTTTCCCAGTCTTACCTCCTAAATCAGGCTGAAATTCTATGTTCTTTTCACTTCTACTGATGAGATTACATCATCAATGTTTTCAACTATTCACATAAAACGTTCTATTTATGAGATTGCAAGACACTATAGAAATGTAGCCTAGCTTCAGAGAAATATACCTCACAAGAATGCCAAACACAATTTTTTTAGTAAAAAGCATGTCTGGCATAACAAGATAGCAATTTTGGTGTTTCTCCTCTTTCTTGGACTCTCAGGTTGACTTTCTGAGCTTCAACACCCCATTGCTAGAACAGTCCCACACCTTTTAAAGTCAAAGCCAGTATGAACACATTTTAGCTGGCCCCACCATACCATTCAACACATAACTGTTATAGAAAGTGAGGCAAAAACAATGTCAAGTAATAAGGTCTTTGCCCCAGAAAGTTTATCTGGTGGGGAAGAGTAAACAAAAACAAATAAATATAAAACAAACAGCAGAAGAGATACTGCTGTTAATTAAAAATAATGTTAGCTGACATTCACTCAACACCTATCTGTATCACATTCTTAGCTAGGTCTATTTTAATTTCAATAAAACTGTATTAATTATTCTATGAGAGAGCAAATGAAGAGAAATTATCCTAGTTTTGAGTACTTTATTCACTCAAAAATTACTTATCACGGACCTAAATAAAAGAATCATAAGATGGTATTTTCTTTCCCTTCCATTTAATGAAGAATAACTGCCTTGTAAAATACGAAGAAAAAGGAACCAATTCCTGATATATGACACTGTAAAAAATCTGTGAGTGTCCCATACCTCTGGGTTAATAGTGCCTGGCCAGCGAGTCTGACAGCCCAGACAACAATCTGGGCCCCATCAACCACTGATGGATTCATTCGAACATTTACTACTGTTTAACACAGTTTCAGGCTGAGGGGGAAGCATTACTTTGGACTGAGCTCCTGCACTAGGCCCCAGCAAACCAGACCAAAGCAGAATGGAGTCACTTGTGGTAACTGCCACTTAATCAAACTGAACTCAGCTGCGTACAGGGCTCGTGCCTGTAATCCCAGTACTTTGGGAGGCCTGGTAAGATGATTGCCTGAGTCTAGGAGTTTGAGACTAGCCCAGGCGACACAGGGAAACCTCATCTCTATAAATAATTTAAAAATTAGCTAGGCATGGTGGCACACTCCTGTGATCCCACCTACTCAAGAGGCTGAAGCAGGAGGATCGCCTGAGCCTGGGAAGTTGATGCTTCAGTGAGTGAGATCACTCCACAGCACTGCAGTCTGATTGACAGAGCCAAACCCTGTTTCAAAAAAACAAAAACAAACAAACAACAAAAAAAAACCTGCTCTGAAACAAGCCAGTTTTCTATTAAAAACAAAAATAAGAGATTCAAGGCAACCAACCAGAAGAGGCCCAGTTTACCTGAGCTGGGATAATAAGAAAGTTCCCTCTGTTTTAACCCTAAAGGAAAGTAATTTTGAAATGACCAATCTGCTGTTCATTATTTATTTCTGCTTTCTTCGGCCTTTTTCTGCCTATAAAACCAAGCTCCTCTCCTCAGCTCACCAGAACACTCATCCTATTTTATAGAATGAGTGTTCTGTAGTATGATTCAATGCTAGAATCACAAATAAAAGCCAATTAGATCTTTTTTAAAATTAGACAGTGAAACCCGTCTCTACAAAAAATAAAAATAAAAAATTAGCTGGACATGGTGACGCACACATGTAGTCCCAGCTACTCAATTTGCCTTCTGACACTAGCCCACCATTATGCATCAGAAGTATAACTATGACTCACACAAAAGTAAAGCTGTGTTATACAAAAAAAATACCACACCACAAGCTAGAAAGTGCTAAGTGGAAAAGAGAGACACAGGAACCTTCCCTACCATCTGAGAAGTGCACAGTCCGAGACGCTCAGTGAATGGCTGAAATTGTGATAGTACTAAACCCTATTTACTAAGTATTCTCCTATACATACATATCTATGATAATATATTTTATAAATTAAGCACAGTAAGACTAACAATAACTCATAATAAAAGAGAACAATTATACCAATATACTATAATAAAAGTCACATGAATGTGGTCTTACATGTGTATGCACAAAATATGTTAATATTTTCAGACCACAGGTGACTGCCAGTAACTGAAACCATGGTAAGCAAAACTTAGGATATGGGGGACTACTGAGCATGCAAAGTGCTATGAGAGAAGACTAGTTCCAGCTGCAGTAAACAGTGACACCAAGAGATTGATTTCTGT